GATCTTAGTAGTACTTAGTAGGAGGAATGGAAAAAGATGTGTCTACTCCATCTTTCCCAATTTAGAATTATCCACACTTTACAACAGTTAAAGACACATACAGGTTAAAAGTCAAAGGATGTGAAAACATTAATGTTGGAAACAATAAAAAAGAACTGGAGTAGCTACAGTAACACAGAAGATTTAATACAAACATTGTTTTAAGATACAGAGAAACATATTTTATAATAAAAAATGGATCAATCCTCCAGGGAGATATAGCAATTGTAAACTATTTGATGATAAAAACAGAGCTCCAAAGTGCATAAAACTAAAATTGGTAGAATTGAAGAGAAAAGTGTTCTCTCACTATAATGTAATAAACTTAGAAATGAAAAACAAAAGGATATGTGAGAATTATTACTCTGTCCAAATTTTCTACACTTCCTGCCCCATCCTCTCTGTCAGCCACTGACCTTGCTTATTTCACTTAGAAACAGAATTAAGCAAAGCTACCACACCAAAATATCTACCCAGTTTCTTTGAGTTGTGCCCATGTGCTCTGCCTCACCCCCTGTCACTCTGGATGAGTTGTCCATGCTCCTGTCCCAGTCTGGCCTCACCATTTTTGCAGTAGGTCCCACTATTCTCTTTTACTTAAAAATACAGTTTCCGCAATTGTCTCAGACTTGATCCCTCTACTATCTCATTCCAGCAATCTACAAATATGTACTAAATTCTTAAACCTTAAAAATACTTAATTCTGCCTACTGGTTCATATCTCTGTGTCAATTAAGAACAACAACCAAAAAAGTCTTGTCCAAAGAGGTGCTGTCTGTAGTCACTAATTTCTTTCCATTTCATCCATCATGAATCCATTCCTATAAGTGTTTTGCTTTCACTTCTCCATAAAAACATCTCTTGCAAAGGATAAAAATGACCTCCCTGTTGATAAATCCAGCTGTTAATTTCCAGTTGTCATTTTACAAGACTCTCCAGTTTTCTCTCTCACTTTTTTGACAACTACTGTTCTCTCTCCTTTGCTTTTCTTCTCTTTCTTACATTTATATACTGCAGGATCTCGGCAATGAGTGCCCAGTCTTTTTCTCTACATACGCTACATAGCTTCATCTTCCCATTCAGACCATGGCTTTACCTACCATCTACATGCTGACAAATCCTAAATTTTTATTTCCAACCCTGATTTTTTCCCTTAGATCTACACTGATATATGCAGCTTTCTATCCCTTGTCTGTCTAATATGCTCTCAAATGCAATGTGTCCAAAACCAAAATCTTGGTCTTTCAGGACAAACCTTTCATGCCAAAATTCCTTACTGGTGGAAATGGCAATGTTCTCCTTCTGGTTGTTCAACTTTACTTTCAAATATGACATCTTTCCTTATTGAAAAACTTCATAAGTTCTCTCCCTTCCTTCAATCTTACTGCCATGAAGCTAGTTCTCAACAGTCCAGCCAGAATGATTGTGTTAGTCTGTTTCTGTTGCTTATAACAAAATACCTGGAACTGGGTAATTTATAAAGAAAATGAAATTCATTACTTACAGTTTCTGAGGCTGGGAAGTCCAAAGTCCATCTGGTGGTGGTGACAGTGACCCAGGGGTCTCACAATGCAAGATGGTAGAAGCAGAGAGAGGACTCTCCTCTGCTAAAGCCCTCAGAACCATGCCCCTGACCACCATTTTTAATCCATTCATTATGGCAAGATCCTACAATCTAATCACTTCTTTAAGGCTCCACTTTTCAATTACCATAATACAATTTCTCATACTCTTAACAGTCCCAGTGGGGCCAAGTTTCTAATACATAAAATTCGGGGGACATAGTTCAAGCTTCAGTGAGTTTGGGGGGGGACCTAATTCAATCCACTACAATGATCATTTTCAGATGTGCTACAAGTCTTGTCATCTTCTGCTCAAAAACCTCCCATAGTTTCCCATGTCACTTAGAGTAGAACTCATGAAGGGCCCATCAAACACAGGAAGTTCTGGCCTGTGTTATTTCTTTGACCTCATGTTCTCTCAATAACTCTATAATTCACTGCAGTCCAGACACAGTATTTCTTCCTTATCTTCAAACTCTCCTAGAATGTCTCTACCTCAGGGCCTTTCAAACTGTACTTCTCTTGCCTTAATAATTTCCCACAAATGTCAAATGGCTCACTCCTTTGTGTCCTTCAAATTTTGCCCAAACAACAATGTGGATTTTCCTGTCCCGCTGTCTTTCACATGATCATTGCTCCCCTCCCTGTGTTTTCTTGTCTGTACTTATCATATTATGACATATTATTTCATTTATTTGTGCCTTATATTTTGTCTCCTGTTGCAGAAATGTTAGTCCCATCAAAACTTTGTTTTCTCTGTTTTGTTCACTCTTATATTTTTTTCACCAAAGAAATGGACGTGTAGCTAGCATCCAGTAAATATCTATTGAATGAATGAATGCTTAAGTTTTGAAGATAGCTTATGTTTAGTGGTATTAATGGAGTTATGGATATCAGAAGCTTTAATACAAGAGGATAGTCAACAACTTGGTGAAAGCCATGTATGCATGATCAATAGATGGGTGGAAATACGGGTATAGAACTCATTAGAAATGAATATAAGAGCAGTGTGAGTTTAGATGGGATTGATCATTGAAGCCATAGGAGTAGATGCGATTGACAGAGTTGACCACTGAGGCAGAGGAAAGATGAGTTGGTGTTGGAATCAAGAACCAAACTTGGATCCATCTGTTTTCTGCTTTTTCTTCCAATTACTTGCTATTATTTTCTGCCTATCATCACCACCCTCCAAAAAAGGTGTAAAAATGTAAAATGTTAATGTGCATCAAATTATTGACAAATAACTGAAAATATTTTTTTAGGAATATTTGAAAATTTAAATCTTTCTAAAAATGCCTGTATATTTAAATATTTGAGCTTTTTTGATAAACAACATATAACTTCCAATTTAATAGAGATGTGGCAGAATTATTTTTGTAATGAAGTTGGGTTTTTTTGTTCAGTTGTATTATTCAACAGTATTCTCCCTGCTGAGTGAATTGCATGTTTTTATTGTTGTCATTTTATTTTTTAATAACAGACAGAAAAATCTCACATTTTCTGAAACTTTCTAACCCTTTTCATATGGAGCAGATTTAATATGGGTTGACACAGAACATATTCAAAATCTGCATGGTAAAGAAGCCAGCTGCACAAAGAACAATGGGGTGGATAGAGGATTTTCAGGATGATTTAGGCAAGGGGAAGCCTGCTGGTTTATGAATAACATATCACTGGTGCCACTGAAGTGGATTATTAAAAATAAAGCTTCTGGGCCGAGCCCGTGGTGCACTCGGGAGAGTGCGGCTCTGGGAGCGCAGCAGCGCTCCTGCGGCTGGTTCGGATCCTATATAGGGATGGCCGGTGCGCTCACTGGCTGAGCGCGGTGTAGCCGGTCTCAAAAAGGACAAAACAACAACAACAACAACAACAAAATAAAGCTTCTAAGGTTATTATAATGGAGTTACCAAAGACTTTTTTGGTGGAAGCATTTCAGAGAATTAAACTAGTCAAATGAATAGTCTTTGCTACTTTCTAAGATAAGTCACTATTTGCCATAGGAAACTGACTATGAAATACCGAAGGTTTGAAGGGGACACCTGAGGCAGCATAACTCTCTCCTCCTTCTTGTGCAGGCCTGTCAGTATATGTTATGCCCTATTGTGCTCCTATTGCCTGGCCTGAGAAAATACTCCCATGGTGAATTATCTCATTTAAATAGCTCCCTGGTACAGGACAGATATTACAATATGTCCTAATTGATTGGATACTTTGTATTATTTTCCACTGCCACATAATAAATTGCAAACACTACCAGCAGTGTGCATATCAATTGTAATCCTGCATCCTTTATTACAAACATGTAATGAAATAGCAACAAGCTTGTCAGCAATTTCATATAGTTTATTTCCCTCTACTTATGCTCTTCATGATAAGTTCACCTTATTGACTTCAGTAAGCACACAAAGATACTAGTTTTCTCTCAGTCCTCCTGGAATTTAAATATGTTTATGGGACTATTGATGGTTTTACATTAAAATATTTGTGAAATTGTCTTTTAAAATCTGTCCTGAGCATCAACTTATGATTTTACAGCTAGTCTGACATCATTTGTGTTTGAAAGAACTTTTTCCTATGTTTATGGCGATATATATCACATTGTTGCCACTGGGATGTGTGCTACAAATATCTTTAAGTATCCAAATAGGAAACATATTTTTTAAAAATCCAAAATGAATTAGTGGGCTCTAGGTGATTTTTATTTTCTTGTAGCAAATATGCAATATGCACCATTAAACAACCAAGTACAACAATTAAAGTTAGCACATGAATTATTTTTTGAAAGTAAAGCATTTGGCTCCCAGTGTCACAAACATTCATGTCTTCCTGTTTTAAACATTACATGTTCACTTTCCTATGGTAAGTAATAACTCATTCTAGAGAATATTATTAAAGATTTTTTAATAATTCTAATACATATTTATCATCTCACATTTGTAGGAAGAGTTAAAAATAATTTTAAGGTACTCCCAAGTTTTTCTTTTCTTACACATTATCAAGAGCAAAATGGTGAATATCAAGAGCAATTTGGTGAAATATGTTTCTATGCAGTAATTATCAATAATGAAATGACTTTTATGGATGATAAAAAATGCATAGTGATCCTACCTCTTGTCTACCTGCAATATATATGACATTTACATATTTACTAAACTGTCTACATTAAAAATTAGTTTCCATATATAAGATATCATTGATTTTAGATAAGTTTATTGCAGGTGAAAAATTGTCCAGTTGTTATCAATTTTTTAAAGACATTGACTTTTATGTGACCTACTTCTCTTTCCCTCTCAGGAGCTGGAATTTTCAAATCTATTTGCTGTTCTTCACTGCATTCATTCATTCTTTGCTGCCAAAGTAGCTTGTTTGGACCCTCTGTTTTTAGGCAGTCAGGCGACTGCTTCTGCTTCTGCCAGCTCTGCTACGACAAGCAAAGCTAAGTATACAACTTGACACACTGAGCTCTTCATTCACACCTACTGGGGCTGTATAAACAGAATGAACACGTTCAACATTTTAGATCCTGGAGAAACCACAATATCTCCAAGTCAAGAGTGGAGTCAAATTAAAATTTCAGCAGAAAAAAGACAATCATGATGCATCTCAAAAACATTTTCATTTTGGAAGGCATCTGTGAATAATCTTGAATGAACAGAACCGCTTGTTCTTACTTGGTTGACTTGTACCAGTATACTGCGTTCACCAAAAGTGAAGACAAAAGAATGAATGGTTTGAAGTATGTAAATAATATAAAAATTGTAAGCTATCTATAAATAAAAATACCAATTAAATGGTTATTTCTGTATTTTAGATTATTTTGTATGACAAATACATGTTGGACCAGCTTATGCATTAATCCCCTATCATTGTATTATCAGTGACATGAAAGAGGCAAAAAATATATGACATCAAGGAGCATGAGCAGAAAATCTCATCAAAGAAGGAGCACTTTAATTTGCTGATGTACATTTTCCTTGTATTCCCATTCTATGATTGGACACTGGCACTACAATTTTGTTTATCTTATTGTGAAATATTCCTAAGTATTGCAAAGGAAAATTGCATTGACCTAAGATAGGAAAAATGTGAAATGGACTATCTCTCCCTTTGATCACTGTTACTATGATGTCTTATTAGCTTCCAATGTCAACCAAATATGCCAAAAATGTGTTAATTATGAATGATGGAAACATTCATAAACCTCTTATTCCTTACTTAATGTTTAAAAGATTTATATTTTACTTAATGGGATTTATTATCAAATTAAAGTTTCATAAATTTTCAGTGACCCAGAAGACCTTTGTAGATAAATAATATCAACAAATATGGTGTAAGAAACAATTCTTTGTAATCCTAATTCTACCAGTGAGTCATGAACTGAAGTGTCCCTAGAAAGCGATATCAAAGCAGTTGTCTATATTAGCTAAATCACTCTTTTCCATTTTAATGACATTGTATGAGAAAATAAGGCAAGATTTGAAAATAAAAGTTAAAATCTGTGTCTTACTATGTCATGAAAAGTGATTAAGTAATGCCAAACTGTGTAGGTTCTTTTACGTATCTTGTTTCAGGAATGGAAATGTGAAGAGGCTGGAAATTTGCAAGCATGAGAGGTGTGCACACATGACTTAGATTCCAGGTATTGCATAACTGGTTGTATAACGCTGGAAACATTCCTGTCCTTCACTACAGCTTTGTGGAGATCTGTTCTTAAACAACCAGCTGTCGATTAAGTAAAGAAAACCTTCTTTTTTATTGACACACATGCTCTCAACTAAATCAAATGTTTACTTGTGAAAATGACCAAGTATCTACTAAGGTGGTTTGATTTTCTTTTTTTAAATGGGAGGAAAAAAGTCACTTGAGAAGAATACAAAATTATTTGTATAAAGAACACATATCTATTAAATTTTGAAAAATCAACATCAAGTTTTCATAATCATTATAAATTATTAATTCATTTTGCACAGGATAAATTGTAAAATACATTGAAAAGAAAATGTGAAGGCGCATAATTGTACCTGGGAAAGTAAGTTAGATAAGATACCTTATCAAAAAAACTGTGGTAAATTGGACAATAGACAGTTTCAACATAACTTATTTTGACCATAAAACTAAATACACATTTATTATTAGAATAGCACTTTGGAATTACTGTTCATTGTATTGATCAAATGCAACAGTTTCTAAAATTAGAAGCCCACCAAAAGCAGGCTTTAGTAGGCCACTTCTGAACTTTTGGAGACAGAGCAGAGGGAGACATCACTTTTGGATTCAAAGCAGTGGCACATTCATTTATAACCTCTGCTACCACTTACAGCTAGAGCTCAGAGTGCCCCACATTGGGGTAGCATCAGTGCATGCACATGGTGATCATCTGGTCTGAAGTCAGTATGAAATAGGCTAGTTATACAAAAGTAAAAAACAAAAAATGTTTTACAGCTTTACATAAGTGTAATAGAATAGAAAAACAAATTTTATAAAAGTTTTATTTTAAAATTAAAAAAACATTTAATTAAATATCCTTTTAATAGCATAAAATAAGCCTATGCTCATGTGTGTGATGAAGGAGAAGGTGCACAACGAGGCATGCATGAGTGTTTGTATCTCCTTAGCCAACACACACGTGAGTGTACATGTCTACATGGAATACAATAAAATGCTGACCATAAGTTATATTAGAAGAATATGTTTCATATATATACATTTAATATTCTTTAAATACATTGTAAATTGTAGTTGGAATTAAAAATGACAATAATAATTATTGTGATTATTTTTGATACTATAGATTAAAAAAAGGCCTAAATTGATGTTTAACATTATTAGTGGAGCAGCCATCAATTAGAAAAATGCTATTCTGATTTTCATAAGTTAAGAAATTAATATTTAATATTTTCTTTACAATATGATGATTAGCCATTGTCATTTGTTATAACTTGAGCTGCTTGAATGAGCAAGTTTAGAAATGAACAAAAATACTCAAATTTATATTTCTCATGTAATTTAGGTTTAGATGCATGAGAAATATTCATCAAATCCTAGTTTGTACATTGAGCACATTTTAACAGTAGAATGCTTAATTATGTGTTAACCCCTCCAGTGCCTTGGTGTGTGTATGTGTGTGTGTGTGTGTGAGTGTGTGTGTGTGTGTGTGTGTGTGTAATCATTACAGTGTACATAGTGCAAGCCTATCGGGGAATATGATAGGTATTTAGGTCAGAGAATGGAATTAAAAATTATTTGAGAACTGGTAACTAATATAATAATGTCTCTTGCCTGATAAAGAATTATAATTCATATAATAAAGTATATTAAAGCAGGGGCATTTTTAATTTGTTATAATGAAACAAGTATTTATTTCAAAAATAACATAATCCAACATGTTTTTTAAGAGAGAATAATCAGCTAATTATTTCTTCAGACATGCACCAACTTATAGTTTTAAAACCTTTGCTCATAAAACTGTCATTCAGCAAGAAGAAAAGCAATTGCTTGAAAATAAATACTAAGTCCATATTAGCCATGCAAAGCAGAGAAATTTTTCTTTGGGTGCATTAGTTTATAAATCAACATTTCCCTCATTTCCAATGACAAAGCTAGTTCATAAACTTTGCCTCCACTGAATGTTCGATTTAAGACAAGCTGGATTTATTACTGAAGAAAAATAATGATCTTAACAATAATTTAGAATTACTGCTAAAAATGAGCAGTGTGGAGAAGCTTTAAAAGCACAAGGATGATCTTGTGCTTAGCATTTCAAGGTAAGTGTAGATATTTCAATATTATTAATATTAGTAAACATTTTGCTACCATTAATACTGCTCTTTTCATGCACTCTCCTTGAAGAATTGCTTCATTCATACCTCTAAAACCATTGTTTATAATTTATTCTTATTAATACTTTAAAATCAAAATGTCACTTATTTGCACATTTGAATTTGCTTTTAAAGATAAATATTATAAATGTTATATATTTTATACATATTAAACATGCAGTGAAAAATACCAGAAATATAAAATGTAAATATATTTATTTCGTTTTTAATTGTTGTGGTGGATATTTCCAAAATGTAGATTAATATATGTGACAAAAACTTGTCACTTTATTCTTTCAGTTCATTAATGTACTACTAATAAAACTGTACCTTTTTTAATGAAGCATACTGGAAAATAAAAACAAATAATTTTTACTACATTTGTGTTTTCATTTTTGGAGGTTTGAGTTGTAAGTTTTATATATGTTTAAAACAGGATCCTGAGAGACTTAACTGCAACAGAAAGGATTAAGATATGACCTGTCTACCATGGAGTACAGACCATTTGGGACATAATCTGTTTTGGTTCATCAATATTTATGAAGATTAGATATCTGACCTCTAAAAACCTCAAAGAGTGAAGAAAGATGCTATTTGCCAAATTACTTAAACAACCACAGAAAGCATGACAACTTTGATATCTTTATTATGCTCCATTATGACCTGATTCTATATTAAGAGGACTGGACTGAGAGGACATCATTATCTTGTCATTTGTAATTGAGAAGCAGTTCATCACTTTATGTCATATACAGCCACAATTGTCTTTCAGGTAATTGTAGTGTCATAATAGTGAGTGATCATATAAATCATTTTAGAGCAACTCTGATATTCATATCATCAAGTTGTTAGATGTACATTTTTACCTTTTCTCTTTTTCCCTTTTGCTTTGGGAGGGAGAACTACTGAAAAAATAGGACATGCCCATCATAGATAATGTAAAAATTAGAAAGAATATTTTAAAAAACCCCAAAGCAAAAAATAAATAGATATCATTGACATCTAAGTCTCACCAACACAAAAATAGGCACAATTCATTTTAGATGAATGTTATTCTATACATATATCTTTGTTTATATAAATACAAAAAGAAATATAAGTTGATGTGCAAGTATTTAAATGCTTTTATAAAAATATCCCAGTAAAAATATAATATAAAAAAATAAATAACTGCATTTAGAAAAATTTAGATACTATTTCAACTGAGTAATGGGTGTATAAAACTTGATGAACAAGATTTATAATTTGTTAAAGATAATTATATATTAGCAAAAGGTGGAACATTGAATATATTTTAAAAGAGTCATGGATTATGACCTCAAGAAAATATATATTAAGATAAATTAAAGTTAAATTATGGATACAAAAAGTCACCCTTTTCATAATACAATTCTGTCAGTTTTGATAAGTGAATATGATTCTGTACCAACACCGAGATCAAACTACAAAACTGTTCAATCTTGCCAATATGTTACCCTGGGCCACCTTTTAAACAACTTCCCTTACCGCAGTCCTTGCCAACTACTAATCTGTCTTCTGTTCCTATAGTTTTCCTTTTTCAAACTTGAAATGTTCTGTATGTCATCTTTTGGATATGACTTCTTTCACTTAGTAGAATGCCTTTGAGATCTAGTCATGTTGTTTTGTGAATCAATAGTGTGTTTCATTTTACTGCCGGAAAACATTCTATAGTATGAATATTCTGTACTTTGACAATTCTGTTCCAACTGAGGAGTAGAGTTTGTTTCCAGTAGTTGGTGACTACAAATAAAGTCACTGTAAACATTAACATACAGGCTTTTCTTCTGAATACAGAATTTCATTTTAACATTGCTAAATTCCTAGGAGTGGGATTACCATGTCCTATGCCAAGTGCATGTTTAACTTTACATGAACACATTAATCTGTTTGCAAACGGCACCATTTCACATTCTCACAGCACTCTCTCGGCAATGTGTGACAGCGTAAGCTGCTCCAGGCATCTTCAGCTCATGGCGTTGTCATGCTTTTTAAAACATTCTCAGAAGTGGGCAGAGGTAGGTATCCGGTTGTAGTTTGTCTGCAGTTCCCTAAAGACTCATAAGGTTGTGTATCTTTTCACATGCTAACTTGTCATGCGATCATTTTTTCTTGGTGAAGTGTCTTTTCATATCATTGAACATCACTAACACTTTTACTTATCCCCATCATTTTACTACAATTATTGCGAATTTTCATAATCTGGATACAAGCCGTTTATAAGGAAGGTGGTTTGCAAAATTTTCTACCAGTATTATCTTTGCTTTTTATTCTCTTAGGTGTGTCTTTCAAGAACAGATGTTCTTAACTTGATAAAATATAATCTTTTCTTTTATTGATTTGGTTTTGCCATTGTACCTAGAAAATCTTTTCCTAACCAAAGGTCACAAATATTTTCTCCTATGTTAGTTTCTAGAAATTTTGTAACTAATTTTAGGTTTTAGCTTTTACAGAGCGATTTATTTACCATTTTAGGCTGAAGTCCTATATACATTGAGTTTCTTTATTTTTTGTTGTTGTTGTTGCATATAGATATCCAATTGTACCAGAAACATGTTGAATTTCCTTTGTATGTCTGTCAAAAAATTAATTAATTCTACGTATGTGCGACTATTTCTTGATTCATTCTTTTCATTGATCTATATGTCTATCCTTTCTCAAAAGTTATAC